TCATAGTGAGAAGAGCTGTCCTCTGTTTGGACACAGCTGTGGACTGCTATGTGTAATTTGAGATGGACACTCCAATACTACATGTTTTGTCCTTATGGATGCTTCACCCAAAGAATCTGATAGCTCAAAATGAGTATTTCTACAAGGAAAATCTATAAAGTTGAAAATTAATAATAGGAAAAGAATATTGAAATGTCAGCATAAACAGGAAGGATGTTTTATTTATTGCTTAATATTTCACCTTTGGAATTTCTTTCAATTGAAGCGAGACCTTGCGTGATGCATTAGTGTTTGCACACCAAGCATTTGCAAATACTAATAATCCAAAATCATTTGCAGGATGGCAACAATGTACAGGGATCATAGAACAATCTCCCACTGTGTATTCTGGGTCAGAATAGGTCCCTAGTACCTCACGCTTGTCACAGGAGTAGGCTACAATGGGGATCTGACATTCAGGTACGCCTGCCTAGGCTGATCATGTGTCATTATACCGTTTCGGGCAGTGGTTTCAATGGTACACATAGCTCACAGGCTTCCTTGATATAGCAAGGACATTGCTGGCTGGGGCATTAAACAATATTCACTCACTCACAGAAATATAACAGTTACCTGGTTATACTTGAGTGAGTGAGTGAGTGAGTGAGTGAGTGAGTGAGTGAGTGAGTGAGTGAGTGAGTGAGTGAGTGAGTGAGTGAGTGAGTGAGTGAGTGAGTGAGTGAGTGAGTGAGTGAGCATGCATTTTCGCAACTTAGGAGACACCAAAAATGGGTTTCACACATAAGGGAATTGAACTCGGGTGTTCGTCATGAGGAGCGAACGCTTTAACCACTAGGATACCCCACTGCCCCTATATGAGTATGTGATGACACAGAATAAAATCCTAGAATACATTGCATGTTTTGAGAGAGAATTCATGAAAAAATTATTGTGTTAGGTTTAAACCAAAACAAAACCTGGCAGAAATTCTGTAAATCTCTGCCACAAAGACATGCAAATGGGAGAACATTCAAACACAGAAATACAACAATGTGATAGTTCCCCAATAAATTCATAGCTGCTTCAGACTGTTCATAAACATATGTACAAGCAAACCCATGATCTGCATCTTCTAATTAACTCCAAATATGACAGACAGGGGGAATTACAGAGCACCATTTAGGCAATGGATTGAAGAAAAAATGTATATTCAAAATCATTTTTCATAATATTTCAGTTGCTAAGAAACAATTAACTGAATTCAAAGTCATTAATAATCAATATCACAGACGTTCCTTGATTCCAATTTCATCAATAATAGACATCTCCAACTTCTACTCACATCTATACCCAACCCAAAGTGATAATGAAAATATTCCAATCCATTATCAGAAATCTTACAAAAGGAATAACCATTAATGAAAATGACATTTCTGTTGGCTGTCGCCATCTTGTTCCATACAGAAGATCTAGTCAAATCTATTTTCTCAATCTTCTTGAAGGGCAGAACTATTTTGGGCATTCCATGTGCCTTGGAATTGGTCCATGGTGCCAATTGCCCTAACTCGTGCAGAGTATCGGAGAGCGCTTACAGCATGCAAAAGTGGAATCGGATCTCAGATTGATGAAGTCATCTTCCTGGTACCACTCTGTATTCAAAAGAGAAGATGCTACTTTTCCATTGATGAGGAAGAAATTGCCCCATGAGAAGAATCGGATATACATGATGCGTCTGCAAATTGTTACAGTAAAAAATTCATGGAACAACATAATTGTCCTATTGGAGACAGAAATATGAACTGCAAAACAACTTGCTGAACCAAACTGACCACAACTTGGTTAATTTCATCAGAGCCATGATATATCTGTCTGCTAACAAAATGACAGGGAGAAAGGCCTTGGTAATTATTGTGCAAATACTTGGTCTCTTAAAGACTAGACAGGCAAGTCACTGGCATTCAGTATGAAGATGACATACCTCAGACAGTTAGTGCCATCTCAGACAAACCGCCTGGCATGATCCACCTGTCAAAGGGGACCCTTATTGTCTGCTGGAACCCTTATTGTCTGAGGGGACCCTTATTGTCTGAGGGGACCCTTATTGTCTGAGGGAACCCTTATCTTCTGAGGGAACCCTTATCGTCTGCGGGGACCCTTATTGTCTAAGGCAACCCTTATTGTTCATCTGAGGGGACCCTTATCATCTGAGGGAACCCTTATCTTCTGAGGGAACCCTTATCGTCTGAGGGGACCCTTATTGTCTGAGGGGACCCTTATTGTCTGAGGGAACCCTTATTGTCTGAGGGGACCCTTATCGTCTGAGGGAACCCTTATTGTCTGCGGGGACCCTTATTGTCTAAGGCAACCCTTATTGTTCATCTGAGGGGACCCTTATTGTCTGAGGGGACCCTTATTGTCTGAGGGGCCCTTATTGTCTGAGGGGACCCTTATTGTCTGAGGGGACCCTTATTGTCTGAGGGGCCCTTATTGTCTAAGGGAAGCCTTATTATCTGAGGGGAGCCTTATTGTCTGCGGGACCCTTATCGTCTGAGGGGAGCCTTATTGTCTGAGGGACCCTTATCGTCTGAGGGGAGCCTTATTGTCTGAGGGGACCCTTATTGTCTGAAGGGACCCTTATTGTCTTAGGTGATCCTTAATGTCTGAAGGAACCCTTATTGCCTGATGTGACCATATTATTTGAGATGACACACTGTCTTAAGAGATGACCTGTAATGTTTTAGACGATCCATTACATCTGAGGTGACCCTACCGTCTGATGTGACCTGTTTTGTCTGAGGTGACTTCTACTGTCTTAAATGACCTGTATTGTCTGAGGGGACCTGTATTGTCTGAGGTAACCAGTACTGTCTGAGGTGACCCTACTACCTGAAGTGACCTGCATTGTCAGAAGTGACCAGTGTATTGTCTGAGGTGACCTCTACTGTCTGAGTGAGCATGGGTAGCCCAGTCGTCTAAGGTGCCATGATTCACTGTGCAGAGTTGCATCCCTTGGGTACGCCAGAAACCTATGATTGTGGGTTCGAATCCCTGTTTGCCCCAATTATGTTTCTAGGTTTGTCAGCACCATACCTGTGCTCGTGGGTTTCACGAAAGTGGTAAACTGCCTGGATCTCTTCAAGATTCCACATTAAGCTGACCTGCTGTGATATAACAGGAATACTCTAAGCAATGTTCAACCCAACTCACTCTATTGTCGGAGGTGAACAATACTGTCAGAGGTGCCCTTTCTGTTTGCAGTGACCCTTATTGTCCATCTGAGGGACCTTTACTCTTCTGACAACAGACAGACAGAAGACATAATTCAGGGTCAAGCCACATTCTTGGCAGTGAAAGTCACATCAATCAAGCAAGTGGAGGTGAGACATGAATGAAAACCTACTAACCAACTTGTCATGGCCTAATCACCATCCAACCTCACTACAGGAATCAGGAATCTTTGCATAAGCATAAGTCGCCCCACAACACCACCAGGACGATGAAACCTAATTCTTCTTGATTGTCATCTGAACAAACCAAAACGTTTTCCTGTTGGCCTACATCCCTAGCCTGACAATTGTGCACTGATGGTGTAAGTGATACATACCACCAATACCTCCCAAACACTAACCCTTTTGTACACCAGCCCAACAGGGGGGGAATCATCCCGAGTCTAGATACGACATGGCTTTTATTTTTGGCTCATTGACCATGCAGCAGCCTGCTGTTTAAGATAACAGGTCTGAAGTGCATTGATTCAGTCTATTCCTGCAAACCCTGCCTGTCAATTTCTCATTGGACTAAATGAAATTGTACAGTGTAACGCTCCTTGTCTGGAAAGCCGTGTGTTAACACACAGTATGTGTTTTGCTTTTGTTTTGCAAAATTTGCATTTCCCTGATCATACAGACATGTTTTAACATATACCACTCAAAATGTTTTTGGTAAGGATCATACCATTGCCATAAAGCTGACTAATTTGGTCCTCAAAAAATGTTGAGTAGTTTATCATTCAGAGCTGATGTGGTAGTGGTAGATGAATACATAGATGATATAACCTACATTTCATGGAGTTGTGAGGTGAAATGGGGTTTAACGTCGCATTCAAGATTATTGCACCTATATAGTGATGCATCTGCACATAAGTGTGTGTGGCTGCTTGTACTAGTCCGGATTAATGTCTATATTATAGTGCTAGCCTACTGATATACCATGCCACAGTTTAACATATATACTTCACTCAGACACAACATACTAACTCTGAGTCGACCAGTCCTTGTTTTAGCCCCTTAATGCCAATTAAGCGCCAAGCAGGGTAACAACAAGTACCATCTTTTAACATCTTTTGGATGACACTGACAGGGACTGAACCCTGGACCTTCCACTCTCTGGGTGGACACTCTACTAATAAACCATGGAGGCGGTCTACATTTGTTGGACATCTGTCCTTCCCACAACTGAAGGTCTGTTTTGTGTTGACACCAAAACTTATGGGAAATAATGAGATATTTCTTCCTGAACATTTGTTGCAGCTATTGGTCCGTTTCTCTCCACTACAACCTGGAAGCACCAGTGGCACAGCTGTACATGCACCAAACTTGTGCAGAATGTTCAGAATAATTCTTTTTAAAATACATTTTCCCACTTAAATTGAAGTTGTCTTTCCCCATATTGTAAAAAATTATATTAAAACTGCCTCAAACTAAACATCAGGAATACAGTGAAACTTCGTAAACTCAAACTCACTTTGCTCAACATTTGGTTTAAGAATATGTAATAGTCCCAGCCGAATCCTGGTTTATCTCAACATGCTCAACAGTCGTCTTGCCTTGAACTATAGCTAAATCAGCATTTTCTCAATGTGTACAGTTCAGAGGGGTTCACTGCATATACAATTCAGATAAAGACTTTCATGTTTGTTAGTTAAAGCAGAGTGGAGTTTTTACATCACTTCAGTAATATTTCCGTGATGATGTAGACAGGACCGTGGCCCCCATCTTGTGGGGTGTGTATGTTGTACCTACCTCTGCATGTTGTCCTGGAGTGAGCACCTTCCCACACTCCTTACACCTCAGACAGTTGGGGTGCCAGTCTCGCCCCAGAGACGTCTTGCGCTCCGCTGAAACACACAAACAAGTTGCTAGAAAACATGGCCTCTTGCTGAAGCACACAAACATGCTGCAGGAAAACATGGCCTCTTGCTGAAACACACAAACATGCTGCTGGAAAACATGGCCTCTTGCTGAAACACACAAACATGCTGCTGGAAAACATGGCCTCTTGCTGAAACACACAAACATGCTGCTGGAAAACATGGCCTCTTGCTGAAACACAAACATTCTGCTAGAAACACAGCCTCTTGCTAAAAAACACAAACATGCAGCTGAAAAACATGGCCTCTTGCTGAAACACACAAACATACTGTCAACATGCTGCTAGAAAACATGGCCTCTTGCTGAAACACACAAACATACTGTCAACATGCTGCTAGAAAACATGGCCTCTTGCTGAAACACACAAACATGCAGCTAGAAAACATGGCCTTCTGCTGAAACACACAAACATACTGTCAGCATGCGACTAGAAAACAGGGCCTCTTGGACGATGACCTGATCCCGATACATCCCTTCCACACAACAAAATATAAGGATCTGCAACATCGGCAAAGAACTTACACAGCCTGACAAAGAATGAAGAAGTTGATGGCACCTAGTCCTGTGGGGGAACGAGTATGGGGGTAGTTGAGCTTGGCTTGTCTCGGTGGGAGTAAGATCTCAAACTATATCCCTGGCCAGACTTTTCACACAATCTTTGGCCTTTGTGTAGGTGATTATAACCATCAAAGTGCTCTGGGGGAGTAACTGAAGGTGATGATATTTTAAATTTATTTTCTTCACTAACTTGATCACATTCCTCAAACATACCCTCTTCCTTCTGAACATCAGTTTCACAATGTCCTACAAGATGAGGCTGCAATAGCATACATCAGTCGTATGAGAATGGGTACATGTACTTTCAGTTGCTGTTTTAATGTCTGTTAATCCTAGTTCATACTCCTAAGTACCAAACACAAATAATAATACAAAGTAGAGACAATTTATAGATAACAACTTCTTTACTTACTGTAAAGTTATGTATACTATGCATAAATTGTCCATAAATTGTATCTACTTTGTCATCCATCAACTTCTAAGCAATGCCTATCAAACAATTAATACAAATTACAAGCCCCCCCTTCACCAAATACATGTGTTTCACGTAACATGGACTTAACATAAATGGGTCGGTATATAGGTGTTTTTGGTATTTAATCATTTTTTTGACAATGTTTAACAAAGATGGCTTGTTTAGAACTCATGTTAGCTGCAATGCTTCTCAAAACTATAGGTAACAATAGCTACAGCAACAAAAATATCATATTTTTCCAAATGATAAATATGAAAATTAAAAACTGACAGTGACCTTAACCCTAACAGTATCACTTTACTGGTGGTGTATACAAATCAAAAGAATTTAAAGAACACCCAATTTTTTCATGTGACTACAACAGATGAACTCTAGTCACATGACTAAATCAGGTGTTCCTTATCTTCTCTTGAGTAGTGTACATAGAGTTCGCTCCAACAAACAACTACAAAAACATGCCACCAAAATGGAAATAATTGTCCCATTGCATAACACATGTAACTTGTTCAGACACAGTTGCGGTAAATTTAACCAACAGCCTGTGAAGTGAGACCGGTTTTGACTGAAAGCAGAAAGGAAGGCCTTGTGCCTTGTGTACATCACCAGCCTGAATGATGCATCCTTGATAGAAAGCACAACATGATTTGCCCAAAATAGTTCAAAGCCTGAAAGGTCACATTCCTCTTTCACAAAAACCCTCATGGTTGACTGGACTGACAGCAAGATCAGATCACACTTGGGACTGTTTGACTTACTACTTATGGTTTTGTTTGTGTGTTGTTTAGTGCCTCAATCAACAATATTCCAGCGATGTGAGGGCTGTCTATAAATATGAAATCTTGGACAGAGAATCCTGGATGTGTATTTTGACCAATGTAGCCTCTTGTTTGTTTGTTTGTTTGTTTAACACTTTACTCAGCAATATTCTAGCTATATGACGGCGGTCTGTAAATAATCGAGTCTGCACCAGACTATCCAGTGATTGACATCATGAGTATCCATCCACGCAATTGGGATCGATGACATGCATCAACCAAGTCAGCGAGTAGCCTCTTCTGGGTAAGATGTCACTGAATCTGACCACCTGATTATCAAGTCACCTCTTACAACAAGCATAGATTGCTGGGGATCAATTCTAACCTGGCGTATCTGGCTGAAACATCCTCCTAGCCAGTTCTTCCCCTGAACTGGCCTAGACTATTTCTTACCCGGAGATGAACTGGCCTAGGCTATTCTCGACTGGAGAAGAACTCGCCTAGGGAGTCTAGGGAGACTAGATTAGGGAGTCTAGGGAGCCAAAGGAGACTAGGGGTCTAAAGAGACTACAGAGTCTATGGAATCTACAGAGCTTAGTTATTCTACGGAAACTAGTCTAGGGGGACAGGGGAGACTAGGGAGTCTATGGAATCTACGGAGCCTATGGAGCCTACGAAGCCAAGGGAGTCTACAGAGCCTAGAGATTCTATGGAATCTACAGAGCCTAGGGATTCTATGGAAACTAGGGAGCCTAGGGAATCTAGGGAGTCTAGGAAGACTAGGGAGACTAGGGAGTCTACAGAGTCTACGGAGACTAGGGAGACTAGGGAGTCTAGGAAGACTAGGGAGACTAGGGAGACTAGGGAGTCTACAGAGTATACGGAGACTAGGGAGTCTACAGAGTCTATGGAGACTAGGGAGACTAGGGAGTCTAGGAAGACTAGGGAGACTAGGGAGACTAGGGAGTCTACAGAGTCTACAGAGCCTAGGGATTCTACAGAGACAAAGGAGACTAGGGAGTCTATGGAGCCAAGGGATTCTACGGAGCCTAGGGATTCTATGGAATCTATGGAGCCTAGGGATTCTACGGAAACTAGGGAGTCTAGGGAGACTAGGGAGTCTACGGAGACTAGGGAGACTACCACGTAATGACAGGATTGATAGCATCAATAGTCATGAAACCAATATGCCAATGTAGTATGTTTCCTGATCTCTGTTCCCCATAGCAATCTCATGGCTATGACCATCATAAGTGCATGCTAAAGTGTGGGAGTTTCAGCAGTCATAGCCCTATGATTACTTGTGGATCTGGGCCATGATGAAATAATGTTAAGCAAATACTGGACAACATGTACTCAGCAGTCATACCTAACACCTAAAGAGGCCTTGAACCTTGTGCCATGAGCAATGACAGTTACTACACGATGAATGCATTATCAGAAAATGACAAATCCCCTCGGCCCCCACAAATTTGAAAGAACAAATCATCTGACTTACTTACTTTAAGTCCATCATATTAATTTGAATTTATTCATTCACTAAAAATGTCATACATATACTCAAAGAAATTGCCACAACATTAATTTGCATCATTTTGAATTAAGAAAAACATCTAAAAGATCAAAAGTTTATATCAAGGTTCAGTTGTTTAAGAATTACTCTTTTTTTTCTCTTTATTAAATAGTTTCCTATTTCTGACTACGATAAAACTTGGTTTCAAATCAAGCACACACTGAGTCCATAGCAATTGCTTCTCTTTACACCCACACATACTAGGGCTGGGACGGGTAACTCGGGTACCCGGGTCGGGTGGGTACTGAGTAGGACCCGGGTACCCACAGGACTACCCCGACCCGTGGTTAGTCACGTGATATATTATTTAATGACAAAAATTATCTTGAACTCTATGGTTACACTACAAGTCACTAATGTTCGCATTTCTTTCTGACTATGCACCCATTCCTTCTGATGTTTCATATGGTTGAATAAAGATAAAACTTAAATCAACTTCAGTGTATGAATGACCAGATTGTTCAAAACATGTATCTAAATACGTTTTGCCAGGCCTATGCTAAAAATGTTCCCAATCGGACATTTTGAGACATCTCCTGAGACCAACAGTGGGTACCCGGGTAGGGTCGGGTAATAGTGGGGTGGGTACCCGGGTAGTAAATTTGGACTTGTCCCAGCCCTAACACATACTCCCTGCCAGGAAATGTCATAATCCTGCAAACCTCTCACAATGAGCTCTCCCTCTCTGGACAACAAGCAATGCATTGTCCCACACTGAACTCTCCCCATAAGCCTGTCAGTAATCAATGGTAACCTCAGTCTCCTTGAGAAACAAACACACGAGACACGACAATCTCTAAGTGTTACAATTGATTGTGACATTATCTCTCCATGCATGGCAGCAAGCAGACAGGTCCTGTAGAACACGGCTATTGCAAGGTGCTGTCTGACATGGCATTGTAGCGGAACTCACGGAAACCGTTCTTATGGCTGATATTTACCAGAGCAAAACGAGCAGCAGTGTGAAGCTTTCACACTAAAATATCACACTAAAGAGCACTTAGAGCAACAGAACGTATGTTGCAGCCCCAAAATAACAGCAAGTGGTTATCAGATAATGAATGGGTTCGTTTTTATGAGCATATTTTCTAAGAGACTGAAAAGTAATGTCACGTCTTGCTTATTTAATGGTTTACAGGTTGTAGTTGACCAATTATTAGCTGGGGTGGGTTGAAACAAAAGTACATTTTTGAAGCTCAATATTATGTTTAGCTTGAACTTAAATAAGTTGGTCACTTTTAAGTCTTGTGAGAAAAGTGTGTCTTTGTGTGTGTCTGTGCATGCCTGTGTATGTCTGTGTGCGTGCATGTGCATTTTCATTTGCATCTGTTTTTTTGTCTGTGTCTCTGAGTGTGAGTGTGTGTGCATGCATCTGAATGTCTGTCACTGTGTGTGTGTGTGTGTGTGCATCTGACTTTCTGTCTCTGAGTGTGTATGTGTGTGTGTGTGTGTGCATCTGACTGTGTGTGTGTGTGTGTGTGTGTGTGTGTGTGTGTGTGTGTGTGTGTGTGTGTGTGTGTGTGTGTGTGTGTGTGTGTGTGTGTGTGTGTGTGTGACTGTCTATGTCTCTGAGTGAGTGTGTGTTTGTGTGTGCATGTCTGTGTG